AATCTCTGCAATTTGAGTTAATATTTTTCGGACGCCGTCCCCCCCCCCCCCCCCCCTTTTTTTTTTTTCTCTCCAGAGAGAAGAGTCTTTTGGCTGTTCCATGACTTTGAGTTATAAAAGCAGGTTCTAGAGACATGATTCTGTAAGTCTTGGACATGAGTAAACATAAAATAAATGCCTTTCCTAAAGTCTGAATTATGTTATGGGGTAAACAGACCTGATGCACATGAGGAAGAGTATGAGAAGGAGAAGGAACTCAGAAGCTTTCCCATAGTCCCTGGACATCAGGGCAAAAGGTCAGGCCACGTCTGCTATAAACATGGTGAGGAAAGTGCTTCAGCTGCTGACACTACTGTGCAGGAAATCCAAGTGTCCTGTCCCAGAAACATCAGGGCTCACTGACCTGCTACATCTAAGGGCAAAGGAGAGTAACCCATGTTTCTAGTTGCCTTGTCATGATGCTTGCCCTGTCTGTATTTCTGATGATTTCTTACTCCCTCCTGAAAATATCACACTTCATTGTGTGATTCTCCAAGTAATTTCCTTTGTGACAATCATGCTTACTTTTATTGGAATCTCTCACCAAATGCAGAGTTTAGGTGTGCAATTTATATTTTCTTATGGATATATAACAAGCACTAAACAAGCATGTTTAGTGTATTTTGTCAGTTATTAATTAATTTTGAGTGACTGTATTCTGCTGAATCCTTTGATCAAGTAGTCAAGGAATTTGATCAAAGAAAAAGTAGAGACTAATTCTTGGTCAAAGGGATTGGGACAACACAAAAATAAGAAAAAAACATTTCATTTGTTCATGTGTGAACATATCCTACAATAAGATATTTCTGACTATCTGGTACAATAATTACCTAGAACCTCAGATCAAAACTGAAAGCTATTTTTGATAGTGACTCTGAAAATATAGTGAAACATAAAGTCCCTTCCCAAAATAGATTAGAATTTAGCAAGCCAAAGTTCAGAGGGAATATATTATAGTTTATCTGACTCTACCTGGTAGATCAGTACTAGCAATTTAATGAGTACTATGACTTTTGTTCCAGTGTCCCATCCAATTATATTGTACTACATTACGTCATTATATTACGGTTTCCCTCTTAGACATATTTTCCTTTGTGAACCACTCATGAAGTTGAGCTTTCAGATTGTTGCCAAGATTTCATGTTACAGCACAGAATGGTTCCTATAAAATATATACTAATACGTGATGTTATTTTTTTTTTTAACCCAGGTTTGTTGTTCATGGTTTGGAAACTGGAGAGCAGTACATCTTCCGTGTGAAAGCTGTGAATGCTGTAGGATTCAGTGAAAACTCACAGGAGTCGGAGGCTATAACAGTACAGGCAGCCCTTAGTAAGTATGATTCTGTGTGAGTCAGCTTCTTGTTTCTTGAATGAGTTACATATTTTCAGCAATCAACTCCCTTGGTCTCATTTGCTATAATGGTACATTTTGCAGCCATCAAGCACATCCCCTTAGTGATGCTTATGCTCTGGCATGTGCTGTTCTAGAGAAAAGACATTGTTTAAAAAAAGTTATTTGTAATGCCTGTTAGAAATACTGGGTCAGATTCGCTATAATGACCATGTTGCCTTCTGCTCCTCAGCTGTAACAAAGAAACTAAATATGAAGTTAGACAAGTAGCTTCTGGGTGATCTGGAGTGGTGCAAATCAGTGTAGCACAGAATGTTCTCCATTTAGTAGAGTTTCAAGAAACTTTTTTACTATGTGTCTGAACCAAACAGAAAATTCCCTTTAGCTGCTCTGGGTTGGAGCACAATCTACCTCCTCTGGTACCCTGCAAACACAATTTCAGTGTAAGAACAATCCGTTGTGCAACCTTCAATGGGAGTGATGCACACTGCGTGAAAGGCTGGGTAATTACTTAGAAGAGAAAGTACACGGAGCTGGGCTACTATGGTCCAATTTTCATTTCTGCACAGTTTCAGTTTCATACTGAAAAATTTAAAATAGAACACCTTTTCTCCACCTGAATGGCCTCCACCTCTTAGAGAAGACCACCAATAGGCATACTTGTCAGAAGTAATAATCTAAAAGATTTATAATTCAGAATGGCTATTAGAAGATAAATTTGGATGAGAAGATACTGACAAACTTACTTTATTTGATTTTTTTAGGAAAAAGTGTGTCTCATATGGGTAGGTGGTGCATGGACACTTGTACATATATCACCCCTATGTCGTAAATGTACTTGCACCTTTTATTTTGTCACTGTGTGTTTCAAATATGTGGGTTGCATGGGGTATGTCACCAAACACAGAGCACATGGATCTTACACACACTTACAGGATGTGGATTGCTTGTATCCATTTTGGCCTTAACAGGAATTTAGCGGGACTATTTATAGGTGACTTACATTAGCATGGACGGAATTTTTCTGTAGTTTTGTTTTAAGAGCATTTATAGGAGTTTGCTGTGGTCATTCTTATTTACCAAGAAGTGGTAATAATTGCAAAGGCCATGTTTTATGGCCTCTGAGTATGACGCCACATTTGAAAGAAAGAACAAAAGACCAGTTCTGCTGATTACTATCTGTTTTCATGCTGATCACTAGTACAGCTACAAGATCAGGGACTGTATTAAAGGCCTCTGCTAACGTATTCTTTTCTGAATGAGGTAAGTCACATTCTCTCAAGTTATGCTGGTAATTCAACTGAAAATATCAGATGAGCTTTAGGGGCAGGAGCTTAGCCTGTACTGACTGCAGCACAAGAGAGTCAAGAAAGGGCTAACTCCAGGCAAACTTTCATGTACAGACGACAAATACAAAACTGTGCTTGCTAGAAAGGGTGTTTGCTAGTAGTACAGGTGTAAAAAGCTCAGGAAAACAGTTTTCTTCCTAGAGATGAAGATACTTTGGTGACATTTCTGCTACTGCTACAGATGGGAGTAAACTCATGCAGGTAAGCTCATGAAGGAAATGTCTCTTCTGCCTCAACATAGGTTAAGCTAGTGAATGTCTAAATATTTTCTATTTCTATTGTTTCAAAAGCTTCCACATTTATGTTTGGAGATAAAATTAATGTTGATTAGCAGCTTTATAACTACTTTGTTACCGATATGCAACTGCTAGCAGTACGCCGGAGAAAACAAAAGCAATACAAAAAGTGCTAAACAACTTCTACACTGCATTGTTTTAGACTCTGTCCTAACACTCAGGTTGCTTATTTCCTTATAGCTTGTCCGTCATATCCTCATGGTATCACACTTCTGAACTGTGATGGTCATTCAATGACTCTTGGCTGGAAAGCACCGAAGTACAGTGGAGGTTCACCAATCCTTGGTTATTATATGGATAAAAGGGAAGCTAACCATCAAAACTGGCATGAAGTAAATTCTTCCCTTATTACCAGGACAATTTATACGGTTGGTGCTTTTTAATCCTTATCCTTCTGGAGTTGTTTTGTACTATTTCTTTGCTTTTGGCAGAGTTCTACTTTCTTGCACAGAAATTCTTTAAATACTTACTACAAAAAAACCAGGCCCGTCCATTGTGCATTTTGGAATGTAGCAAGCCTAAAAACTGGGGTATAGCATCAGTGCCATCCCCTGCTATGAAATTCTAAGACCGATAAGGCCATGCAGATGAGGAAATTTTTGAGGAAAAAGGTGTGAAGCACATTTTTCACAAAGAACAAAATGAGCTATAAAATGCTTCATAAACTATATTCATTAATGAGCACTATATGTATCACCACTGTAATAACATGCAGAGAAAGGATGGAAGCATTTAGCAGGATAGAAGACCATGCTGTCTGTAGAACTGCAGACTTGTAAATGACATAGAGATGGGCTGAGGACAAATATAACTTTCCCTGTTCTTACTCTCAAAATCTGCCTTCAGCTGGAAAGGGAAGTATATTAACAAACATAGCATTATGCCTCATCGCCTCCTTTCCAGAGTACCAGAGAGATGATTTTAGTTTTGAAATAAATTACTTCCGGTTGCACTTACAATGTATTCAATGTTTCTTAAAAAAAGGAAAATTTTGATGTGAACTTCCATGAGGAACGGTTAGGAAGATAGGATATAGCAAGTAATTAATCAATCTGATGCTTGTTAAGTTAAACAATCAGATTTTATTCCCAAATTCTTCTTAAAATTGTTTCCACAAGTCAGCAACTTTCCTATAAGCCTCAGGGCAGAAGTAAGTCTTTAGCAGATATTTGACACTAAAGTAGAAAATAATGCTGCAGATGAGCTCAGGAAGAACGTTTCATGCAGAGAAGGCAGCCGGTAATACTCAGGTGTATGTATGCTTGTGAGGGAGTTTATGACTGGCATCTCTGACATAACAGATGGATGTTGAGAAATAAAAAGGGTGGGTAAGATAGGCATGAAAGGGCAATACTAAGCAATGCTTTCCAGATATTTTCATTTTTAAATGTATTTGTAAACAAATGAGTAATGTAAATTAAGGGAAACCATTCAGAGTTTAATTAATTGGATACTTAAGTCTCAGTCCTGCCAGTAACTGTATTTGTGCCTGAAGGTGCATCTTCATACATTAGTTTGAGTGACTGGAATCTGAAATACTGATGGGAAATAACAGCAAGACAGCTTTTAGTAGCACAGAATATTTTATGACATGCTGCAAGCGGAGAAGGCCCTGAGATATACAGTACAGTATTGGGCAATCACTAAAGGTTTAACCCTCTCTGATTAAATAATTCTATGGGAACCCCACAAATATTCTTTCCCTTAAAAACCTGGGATCTCAAAACCATTTTTACAGGCTGAACTGTTATTCTTTCTTGTGAATCACACTATATATAGTTTAGTTTATTTATATAGTTTATATATATAGTTATAGTTTATTTATTAACGAAAATACCAAACTGTTCAGTATCTCCACTGGAAGTGCTACTCTCAGCTGCCTCTTTCTCTTGGGACATATGCTTAAATATAACTTTGGGAAAATTATGCAGAGGACCGAGGTGTAGAAGCCTTGTTTAGTGTATTTAGGTGTTCTGGAAGAGGAAGGATGGAAGAGGGCTGCTACCATGAGGTGCTCAGGGTGTCAAGAAGATTATGCCTTATAGCTTGTCTACCTTGACCTCAAAATCTGAGATGGTGATGGACTCATTAGATAAGTCAGGGTTCATTTATCAGGGACATTTGCAGAGGTGTAGCACGGATTCTGGTTATCTTATTTCCAGTGCTTTCTTCCTCACTTTGTAAAGGTAGGTAATATTAAGAGAAAGACACGTACAAGCCAGAAAAAATTACCAAGAGAATCTTTCCCAGAGTTATACCAGCACACTGTGGAACTAATTGGATTGGCTTTTCCTTTAGTTTCCTGTTGTTTTCTTTTCTTCCCTGGTCAGTCCACTATGACCTCTTTAGACCAAAACACCATTTGAACTCTTACTTAAGTGAATGGCTTATGAATAACTATTCGTAAGCAATGCTATTTCATTCATAAGCAAAGGTATTTCATGTTAGAACACTCACCCATAAGTATCTACTAGTGGTTATTCACTGAGCGGGTTCCCTGGACCTTTGCTCTAACCTTTTACAGCCTCTCATGCCAATATATTGAGTGCTGTTATTCCTAGGATGATGTGGCTGAAACATGGAAGTACAACATATATCTCTGCCGTGTGTTTGGTTTAAGAGTAAAATCTTCAAATTAGATCCTTCCAGTACTCCAGCACAGCAGTAAGGCCTGATAATTATTTAACCAATGCTTATTGTCCTGGTTTCAGTTGGAATAAAGTTAATTTTCTTCCTAGTAGCTGATATAGTGCTGTGTTTTGGATCTAGGATGAGAATAACGTTGATAACACACTCATGTTTTAGTTGCTGCTAAGCAGTGTTTATACTAAGTCAAGGACTTTTCAGCTTCTCATACTGCCCTGCCAGCGGAGGCTGGAGGGGCACAAGAATCTGGGAGGGGACACAGCCAGGAAAGCTGACCCAAATGAGCCAAAGGGATATTCCATACCATATGACATCATGCCCAGTATATAAACTGGGAGAAGTTGGCCAGGGCACACAGCAGCTCAGGGACTGGCTGAGCTTTGTTCAGCGGGTGGTGAACAATTGTATTGTGCATTGCTTGTTTTGTATATTCTATTCTTATTATTGTTACTACTACTATTATTATTATTTTCCTTTCCTTTTCTGTCCTATTAAACTGTCTTTATCTCAACCTGAGGTTTTTTTTTTTTTTTGGGATTCTCTCCCCCATCCCACTGGGTGGGGGGCAGGGAGTGAGTGGCTGCATGGTGCTTAGTTGCCAGCTGGAGTTAAACCACAACAATTATTTTTAAGTATTTAATTTATTAAAAGAATATAAATCATAGCTTTTGATATGTTGAATTGTTTTCTCAAAAAAGGTAGAGGATCTGACAGAAGATGCCTTCTACGAATTCAAAGTTGCTGCTGCAAATCTGATTGGAATAGGTCAACCTTCAGATCCCAGTGAGCATTTTAAGTGTAAAGCCTGGACTATGCCAGAACCTGGTAAGCCTATTAGTTCCTCATGAACTTCACTTCAATATAAACTCCTTAAAACACAGTCAGGGTAATGTTCCAGCCAAACTCTGCTGGATGTCTTTTGGTTAATTTCTGCCATATTACCTGTTGAGATTGCCATTGCTTCTGAGATCTCCTAGTAAAAGCTACCTCCACATCCCGACTAATGACATTGAATGTCCTGGGAAGTGGGTGACCTTTATTTAGCTTGCTGAGTGTCTCCTTTCACTGCCCACATCAGCTCAGAGCAGGAAGTCTTCAGCCTTCAGACTATCTCTATCAGCTCTTCACCCTCAGTCCTACAAGCTCCACTTCACCCTCAGCACCTGTACAACATATAGGCATCTCTGCACCATAATTGCAGTCTATTAAGAATATTCCTGGAGTTTTAGACTCCAAAAATATAGTTTTCTGCTCATAAATAAGACACAACAGAGGCCTGTTTCTTGACATAGAGGCAAGTAGCACCGTGTAGCTCACACTTTACAGCTCAAGTCTCCCACTCTCAACTAGTGTGCCCTTATTCATGTGTTTCCCCTAGATTCCCCTAGAACCTAGGTGTTACCTGAGAGATTGTTATTAGCCAGGTGTTAGGACAAATGTGCTAACAAACATACAGTAGGAATGACTGCGTGCTAGTGCTTAAACCTGTGTTTAGGTTGTCTGTAATTTAGCAGTGTAGATGCAGCTGAAGACTGTTAATTGCAATGCTAACTGTAGAAAATGTTAAATAAGAAGTATTGTGAATTCAGGACCCAGGGCAAAATAAAGGTAAACTTTAGCCTACCTCATGTGAGCATATGAATTTGTGCCCAAATGTTAGACATCTAGGGAATTGGTTCCCCTCAGTAATGCTCAAGTTCTGTAAATAAACTATGAAAGGGTTTTTGAAGGCCCATTCTGCTTATTTTATACTGCCCTCGCTCATACCAAGCAACACTTTTGCTGCAGCTATTTCTGATGTCTGGTACTGATTTGCCTAAACAAAGCGTGTCACAGTACAGCCCGTAACAGAAACACAGGCACCTACCACTTTAATATATTTCTACCTTCTTTTCCCCAAAATGCTGTAAAATACTGCTGTGTTGTTAAATCAAGTTCTATTTATGACATTGAGCTTTGGTATGCAATTAAAGATCCATTCTAACACTTGTTTATGTCATCAGGAGCTGTCTGACACCTACACACATCTGTTTCATGCATAAATGTTCATGCAGTTATGTTCTCAGTAACGAAAAAAAAAATCCAACCCCTCAATCTGGTTTTGTAAAACTATTGGAATTTTCAGTGATTTCAAAAAGGCATAATTAGCATAAGGCAGCAGGAAAATTTCAGTTTTCTTTTCTATGCTATATGAAAAAAGTAATTCTTGCCTGGAACAAGAAACAATTTGGTAAGATCATGGAATTGTTTGCTAGGAAAGACTATCAAATGTCACCCAATTCAACTTCTTGCCCACATGCAGGATCAGCTATACCTATCTTGTTGACAGAGGCTTGTGTAATCTATCCTTAACGACTTATACCTATGAAAAAGTCCAGGTTCTTTGGATAGGATCTGTGCCTAATCTTACTATGCTTACAGATTAAAAGTTTTTCTAATATTCCTGGATCTTTCTTCCTGCAATTTAAGCCTGTTTGCTTCTTGTCCTGTCGTCCAAGGACATGAAGAGTTTATTCTTTTCCTCTTTGCAACAGCTTTTCTATGTGTTTAAAGACTTTATCAGACCCCTAGCTTTCCACTTAAATTAACAAAAACCAGTTAATGCAACCTTCCCCATAAATCATGTGTTCCCTATCTCTAAATAAATAAATTTTTGCTATTCCTTGAACTTTTTCTAGTTGGTTCATATCTTTCTTGAATGGCAGGGTGCAAACTGGAGACATTATTTCAAATAAAGATTTTTCAGTGCTGATCAGAGAAATGATAACTCCACACCACCTACAATTATTTGCCTGCTTACAAATCCCCTTTTATTTGTCTTTTTTAAAAAAATTACACCGTTATGCTAGGTTCCAAGTTTACTTCTTTTTAATGCCCAGATTCTTTTCTGCAAAACTGCTTGCCAGAGAGTTGTTCTCTGTGTTTTCTAACTAAATTCTTCTGAGTTCATAAGTCTTACCTTCTGGATTTAACGACATGGCAAAGCTGTGAATAACAAAATGTTTAATCTCCTGACCTTAACTCCCTTTGTGTTAATTACATTTTCTTATATCTTGTAATATTTAGTATAAATGCATCATCCGTGGAACAATTATTTTCCTTAGAGAAAGGATCTGTGATTTATACTCTACAGTGTTTTCAAAACATCAGTGAAATTGCCTAGTGTGTAAACAAGTGAAGATTATCCTTCATTTTAAATGATATATAAAGAAATAAAATAAAAGACACTTTCAGGAAATGAAGAGAGTGAAATTTCCATTTTCATAATGAAGAATCTGACCTTTCTACTCCTTGGCTGATTACATTGTTCTCATTATGAAAATACTTGAAACAGAGAGTATTGCATTCTTCCTGCTTAAAAAAACCCACCACAAACAAACAACCTCCTCATCCCCTCCCAAATTGCCAAACCTATTAAAATACTTCACAAGCTTTTTTTAGAATAAGTTTTTAAACAATGTCATAGCAATAATGAAAAGAAATAATTGAGATTTAAGACTGGGAGAAAGAGGCCAACCCTCTTCCCTGACTCGCTGAAGATACTGAAGACTAATGTAATGTGACTGCAGTATACTCCCAGTGTCAACGAAATATTCTTCCACCTTTTGATATGGAAGGGAGGTTTCCTTAGAAAAGCCAAAAAACCCTTGCAGGATTTCCCGCATGAGTGATGGATTCCTTGCCCAGAACCCATAATTATTTCATCCTTCTGCAGAACTCTACTCTTAGGTATCTCTGTGAGCCTCTGTGAGTTAGCAATGATAGCTAATGAATTATTTTGCATGACTTCAAAAAAAAATGAAACATCTGGGGTCTCAGAATCCTCAGAATAGAATATACTTCATTACACATTTTTTTCTACTGTCCAGATTTCTAGCAGGTGCATCTGCCAGTGGAATTTTAATTATCTGTGGGTATGTAGACATTTAGGTTGGGATTTTTAAAGACCCCTGAGAGAAGGCTTTAGGCTCCTTGAAAATTGCAGTCTTTCTATGAGAAATCTAGTATTTATCCTCCAAAGGTCTGCAATAGGTACTTATATGTTTCTTTTCTGAAATGTGCTTATCCACTATGGAGAAACACTTTTCTACTGTTTTTTTCTGTATATTTGCTGAATATCATCCCTTACACACTTCATGTTCATTCATTACTCATTAACATCATGTGGGCTGGAATGGCAATCAGGTTTATTTGTAAGGTTTTTCTACTCTTCTTTATTTTAAATGGTGAGATGTGTTGTAGGGAAAAGTAATATCTTAAATTAGGCCAAACTGACAGCACTGAGAAAATCCCTAAGTCTCAGGTACTTTCAGGGTTCCTTACTCTAAATTTAAAGCACAAAAAGGAAGCTTCCAGCTACATAATTTGGCTAAATATCAGTATTCTGTCACGGGTGTTTTCAGCATGGTAGGAAACTGTTACAATTATGCTTTATAGTCTACTAGTATAAATAAATATTAAAGGTATAGTAAAAAATAAATGCTACAAGTTAAACTGAAAGACACCAAAACAGTTAAGTGAAGGAGAAGGAAAGTATAGTGGGAGAACATAACTGGATAGCTGCAAACGTATGAACTCTCACTTACTCATAGAGCAGCAGGATGTTTTTGGTGTAAATAGTTCTCCTAACAGATATCCTCTTAAGAAGTTCTTCTTGGCTACTGTTTTCCACATCACAATGAAAAATTCTTCTGTCAGGGAACAAGAAACCTGATCCAAAGTCCACTGGTACCAGTGGGTTTTGGATTAGTCTGATGGATCATGGTTCATGTATACCAACAAAAAATAAAAATCCTGGTGCTAAATTATGAACCTGAGTCAGGCTCAGTGAAGCAGATTTGATGTAGGGCTGGTGAATTAAATAATAGACAAGAAACCTCTGTTGCTTGTTGGAAAATTTTAAACTGCATGGATTTTCCACATGAATAACTTTTCCTTAAAATGGAGTTACTGAGATCTAGCTAAGAATGTATGCTTCAGAATACTAACGTCACTCACTGCATAAAACAGGTATTGCTGTACACAGCCATGAAGGGAAAACAACCAAAATACCACATATACCAGGTTTATTGTTGAGAATGAGATTTTTGAAAGCAAACAGAGTCAAAACAAAATTAAAAAGTGGTGCATTTCAGCCTCTACAGGGCCAGTTTACAAAACTGTATTATATTGAAGTGAACTTCCAATATTTGAAATATTTTAGGTCCTGCCTATGATCTCACGATTTGTGAAGTTAGAAATACATCACTGGTTCTTCTGTGGAAAGCTCCTGTGTATGAAGGCAAAAGCCCTATTACTGGGTATTTAGTGGACTATAAGGAAGTAGATACAGAAGACTGGATCACTGCTAATGACAAACCTACTTCAAAGCGCTATTTTAAGGTAACATTTTCATCAGTTAGTGTTAATTCAAAACTGAGTTCTAAAAACATCTGATTGAGTACAACAAAGGTGTGTATTTGAACTTGGGCTTCTGCTAACATCTTCATATAAGTAAACAAAAGAGTTTAGATATTGTTTTTTAATTTGGCTTTGCTCTTTATCTTTTTCAAGGTCACTGATTTACATCAGGGTCATACCTATGTTTTCAAAGTTCGTGCAGTGAATGATGCCGGGGTAGGCAAGTCATCTGAGATATCTGAACCAGTGCTTGTCGAGGCACGGCCAGGTAATGAACTTTTTTACCTCCTCTGCTTCTAAAATACTGAAATACTTAGAAGTGAATTTAATCAATCTGATTTGATACTGTAGCACAGGTAAGTATTTCAAGAGTTAAGAAGCTCTTAGCCTTAAAAATTAAAGAAAAAATCATGTGGATACAGAGGTACTGTCAAGAATTTTTGCTTTATTTACTGCAGGAAATATCTGATAATCAGTTATTTCAGTTTTTATTCTCAGAAACAAAAGTGCTACTTGCTGTGAGTGAAAAGAAGTATGACAACTCATTTATTAATGCTTCAAGAGTGATAAAAGATTAATTTACTTAAATTGTTCATACATTCTCACATTCAGTTTCATTTTATAGATTCATTTCTTAAGAAGAATTTATTTTAAGTATTCCTTTTTTTTGTGTAGAGTAAGAATCTTGCTAGTATGTGATGCTGAGTCAGCATATGACATAAACACGCTTCAAGATCTGCAAGAAAGATCAGTATCTGTTAGTGAAGATGGACAAAATTTGCATGGGCTTTAGTAACTTCTGAATTGCAGCTCAAAAGAAAAATGCAGCCTTGACATTTTTGTTGATTCCTATTTTGCAGGAACAAAAGAAATCTTTTCAGGTGTGGATGATGAGGGTAATATTTACCTTGCTTTTGAGTGCAAAGAAGCTACAGATGCATCTCATTTTGCGTGGGGTAAATCATATGAGGAGATTGATGATTCTGATAAGTTTAAGATTGAAACAAAAGGAAATCAGTAAGTCATGCCAGTCTATCAAATTATTAGAAGTTTGTCCTGTTAAAAATCTCAATATCATGAGAAACCCTGCTAATTATATCCTTCTTTATCGATGATTTTAGTTCTAAGCTGTACTTCAAAAATCCTGATAAATCAGACTTGGGAACTTACTCTATCTCAGTTAGTGACACAGATGGGGTTTCATCCAGCTTCGTAATGGATGATGAAGGTAAGGTCATTACCATCTTAAGTCTTTCTTCATTTTACCACCTCAACTGCACTAAAAATTGTCCAAGAAAAAAAAAGAACTCCACAACTCTCACATTCTTTCCTATGCATTAAGGAAAAACAAAAAAGACTGCACAACAGGCTTTGTGTGATTGCATATTTTTCTGATTATCACAATAATGAAAGTTTGGATAACTTAAGGAAATATTTTCTTTAAAAAAAAAAGATAAAGAATATGACCAATTATAATTGTTTTCTTTATGCTGGGACTATAATGTTGTTCGCAAAAACCTGTTACAGTGTCAGTTAAAAGTCTAAAAGTGTTGCTTTTTTCACTGTGTTGTGAATCTCTTTCTCTAGTATTTGAGTTTTGCTGTGCTTTGACTTCATAGCCTTTCACATCTTATAATAATTGGTTTTCTGTTAGCTATAAAGCTACCATCAGATCTGTGCTTACCAAGGACCCTAATATAGAGACGGACCTTGAGGCTCCAGATACAGTTTCATACAACGGAGGTGCAGAGAATTACTAAGAAGAATGTGAGAAAAATGTTGTTGCTTTAACTAGATCTGAATACATAGGGTTAAATTATCCTTTAGCTTAAATTTAGATTAGTTTTGCTTTATTTCATTGTAGGTATTTTGTTTCATTGGAGTTGTAATGAATTTGCTTCAGTCTGACTTTGGTTTAGCATGAGAGGTGCTGAGATGAAAGGCAAAGCGGGGGGGTGACTTTACTATTTTTAAATAGCACAAAAATTATTTTGGTGCTTTCCCAGTCCACAGGCTGTGATTGCTATGCACAGTTCCTTAAGCATGAAAATCCCTCTACTTACCTTCTAAGTCATTTAAGGAGAGGAGATGAGACTGAATGTGAGTCTGATAGTAGGCAGGACTTTTATCACAGTATGAAACATGTCAAACCTCCCATTCAAAGTAGGTGTTGAGAAGAAATCCATGTGCAGACACAAAAAATATGGTTGTCCGGGACATGGACCATTTATGTGGACTCTTAGTCATTACCAATATCTGCTTCTTCTAGGGAAGCTAAACTTGTAATATTTTTAATTTTCCAATGAATACTGTAGGAAAAGACAGATATGCATTTGCTCTTGATAACTTCCCTTTGGCTTAGTTGTAAGGCATCACTCTGAAAGCTGTCTGTAAGTCTTGTCACCACCAGTCCTACCTTTGGAGGTTATTTTATAGAAGACCACTAAAGGTGTTTCCCATCCCACACTTAGCCCATGTCTTCCCTGGTCATATCTGTCACTCAAAATTACATTTTTATTTGTACTGGATCTATGAGCAAGTGTTAGATTTTGCACCTCTACACTGAAAACCATTATTTCACTGCCCATTTACTTCCTCAAATGCTATAAATTCTCCTGTAATTTTGCTAAATCCTCAACCATGTCATAAATGCTTGCTAATTTCCTCTGGTCTTTACATTATCTATAAAGTTGGAATTGGCAGTAATGTTAATCTTCCAAATCTTTATTAGTAATGAATATGATAAATAGGGTTAGTATGAAAATCTAACAAAGTGGTTTCTAGACTCTCGCACAACCTTCATGAGGATTTAGTGCATTAAATAGGACTTTCTGTACCTTTTTCAGACTAACCTGCCCTCAGTCTTGTTTCCTGCCACAGTAAAACAAGCTTTTCAGGTACAGTGTCGGAAAGGAAGTCAGCAGATAAAGGAACCTCAAACACTACTTAGAAGCTACTGTCTCCCATCTTTCATTTAAATCCCATAGAGAATTTAAAATAGGTTTTGTTCTTTCTTTAGATTCTTTTGCATAAGCCAGTGTGTATGAAAATGCACAAAATAGGAACACTCACTAAATCCATATATCAGAATTTTAAGTTTCTCAAATGTTATTTTTTAGTCATCACTTTCTGAAGAGGGTTAGGTATTTCACATATAAGACTTAAGGAGATTATCTGCTGATGCTGATATGTACCTTCTTTGACACTTGTTTTCTGACTGTACTTTTCAGAATAAATTAAAACATGAGTATTTTTCTTAATTTCAGAGTTTGAACGTTTGTTGGCATTAAGCAATGAAATAAAGAATCCAAGTAAGTTGAAGATCTGAATCTACTTGATACTTCTAGAAGAAATATAATTACATACAAATGACTGGAGTTCCGAAAAGGTTCTTCCTGAGACAAGGGCAGGCTAATTTTTCATGGAACAACTTGCTTCCTTATCTTTCTGTTCAATTAGAAGAATATCAGTTTGCATTTAATAAAATCATCATTGCCTAAAAGTCTTTTGAAGTTTGACAATAGACTATGGGTTGCTACTAGCCAATTCCTTAAGCATTGTGCAAACTATAAGGTGTAAATTCTTTTCTCCCTTCGAGAAATTAATTTAAAAATCAGCCAAAGACTGCATTAGATGTCTTTTCCCTGCATAAAGTTTATTCTATATCCAGCATTCCATAAATAATAGGGAGATACTAATATTTTACAGTAGTCCTTTTTCTCACAAGGTTTCATGTATTATTGACTTTTGATTGCTTTTCTTGCTACAGCAATACCTCTGAAATCAGAATTAGCTTATGAGGTTCTTGACAAAGGAGAAGTTCGTTTCTGGATTCAGGCTGAAAGTTTATCACCAAATTCTACCTTCAGATTCGTTATTAATGATAAAGAAGTTGAAAACAGTGATGTAAGTACATATTAAATACTATATATATATGTGATTTTCTTTTATAAACTTACATAAACTTTTATGTATTAATAGGTATACTATTTTTATAGCTGCTTAAAAACATGTTATTAAAAGTCTGATAATAACTGAAAGGAATGCCAATCTTTAACTTGAATCTTTTTTGCAGTATAGAATTCCTGTTGCAGAGTGAGATTATTCATACCAAAAAAGGAGAGCAAAGTTTAACCCTCAGAAGTTCGTATTCATTTTGGGTAGCTAGACAACCAACAGCCAAAGAGAAGGAGAAATTATACACAGACCAGTATTAAACACATCTGATGAAAGCAGTGCACAAATATTTTAGTAAAATAGCTCAAAACAAAAAAGCTAGTTCAAGTACAGTTTTGGACTCCAATCCAGCAAGACCCTCTGAGGCTACTACTACTAGTTTTACATATAATGTGGGACGCACTTGACAATGCAACAGTAGTCATAGATATAAAACTTTTAGATGGTGTCACATTCTATTTATTTTTTTTTTTAGATTTTGGCCTACATAGTAAATAGGCATTGAATGGCTACATGGAGATGAAAGGACAGGCCACCAGCTTAATGCATTTTTATAGCTCTAGGAAGACCTTTCATAGAAAGAGAAACAAAAAAGTGGTCAGATGGGGCTGGGAAGAAAGCAAGGTCATGCCTTTGCAGGGCTGGAGTATGGTTCATCTACTGGGAATAAAGTATAACACTGGACATATCTTTTCCTGTGAGGAATCTACCTCCAGTGCACCTGTTTGAAAGGTTTAGTTTACTCCTGAGGATGCAAAGCCTGGTTTTGGCCAGAGAAGCTTATCAGCATCTTTATACCATAGAAAAACAAAGAGCGTTTACTTTAATTACGTATTGACAAGCAGAAGAAGTGTTTCTGAGTAAAATACTTTTCTGTTTTTCTTAAAGAAGTAATAAACTACAGCACTGAAAACCTGAATATTAGTGACTAGGATGTATTGAAGTGACAATATTCTGTCTTGGCAACGTTAGTGGAACAGAACGAGCTATTTTTAGTTTGCGTATGTTTTGGAAGTGTTGACATCAGAGAGAGTCTTGAAGTGGAGCTGCATTATTTCACCTCTTTAATTAGTAACCCACAGGTGACATTTACGTTTGGAGACTGATGATATTTTTGTGGAAAGTCACGTAAAAGCCTAGTATTTATGGTGCCCATAAAATCATTGAACTTCATCTTGCTGCATAATGGCAATAGTTAGAAGCCTAATTACACTCTAAAACCTGCCTGGAGACTGGGCTACAGTCACTGAACATGTTCAATAGACCGTTATGCTGGTGAATTGTAGTCTGATTCTTGACATTGGCTGAAGTGATAAATTTTTCCTTCTAGGTCCTAAAAGGGAGCGGTTTCAGTAAAATTTCAAAATAGTCTGAGAATGGCGTGAACTGGGCCCCATTTAATCAGCTGTCATTTTAATCTTTTAATATTTTTTTCTTTTACCCAAAAGCAAGAAATAAAAAATAATTCTAGAAGTATGATAAATGATCAGATTAAAACTTACATCTTGCTCTTCTTTTTCTGCTTCTGGTAGATTTCAATTTAACACTCTCCCTGAGAACTCATGAAACGAATGCAAGTGTTGTCCTTGACCTCTGTGGGCAAGAGACTGTAAGCGAGAATTTGAATTTGCACTTTTTGATAGTTTGATGAAGTTTATAACTTCTCTTTTTAACCTACCTAGCCTATCTCCTGAACTCTTACAGATGAACTCTTACATAAGTAATTTTTCTACTTAATTTCCTGATTAATAAAAACTTGTTTTATTCTTTGACATTATATCTTTCTTTGAACTATATATGGGAAAGCACATATCCAAATTATATGAGCATTTTCTCCTGTTATTTTATATAAATGTTATACCTCAGTCCCTTCCCTCTAAGAAATTTATTTAATAAATTGTTCTCCTAAGCAATCTGTTGGCTACTGCTTTGTTAATTCCATTATCTTTTCTCTTTCTTCATTCTTCAGTTAACCCATTAAGATTTAAAATAGTAATATTTGTATATTTGAAAGTACCAGTAATGAATACTAAACATCTTGACTATGTCTACACTATTATTCCAGGCTTGTTTTCCATACAACAGTGAATCTTTTCTTGAGGCTGGCCAGGAGGTGTCCCTCAAAGCTGAAGCAGATATATCTGTAGGGTCATTCCTACTAATTTTGGATCAGTACTTAAAGGTTCTTCCACTTAAGGAAATAGTCCCAGAGAGTTTAATAACTGGTATTTTTACTAGCTTTTTCCCCCTTCCTTCTTTTTTCCCCTTTCCTAAACTTAATCTACCTGTGGCTTTAGGTAGGCTTTAGTTTTGGAGTCAAATAAAAAGGTTAATCAAAACATTCTGTTTATAAGGCATCATGTCTCCTTTTAAGAGTAACAGTTTACTGCACAGAACTCCTTCTAGATGGTGACATTTACTTTTCTGTCCCATCATGAATGGAACAGTTAATGTGTAATATCCTCGGCCACATTGGTTGCCTAAAAGTATTAATCAGGTAACTTCTGTGGATTATTTTTACTTTGCTTTCAGAATTTATTAATTGAGATTCAAACAACATCACTGTTAGTGAGACACACAGTCCTCATGGTTGTTAATCACTGAATGAAAGAGGGTATTACTTAGTAAGAGGTGGTTGTATCTAAAATAGTACCTGCAAATTCAGAACACATATCTTTCAAGTATTGTCTAATATTTGCTTGCATTTTTCTGTTTCCTTGATGATGCCTGCCAATAATTTATCTTTCTGGAATATTTAATAGAACGCGAACACAAAAAGGACACAAACAGTGAAAAGCAGACTAGCAAAACCCCTTGCTGCACTGGAAGCTATAATGCAGCTAAAGGCTGGCTGTGTAGGCTCTTCTTCAAACATGCATAGTGCCATAAACTATTATTTTTAAATCCAAACCAGCTGTATTATGATGACTCAAGGATTCCAAATGCAGCTGCGCACAGAGGTTTCTGTCACCACTGGGATCTGGTACAACAGTAAATACAAGCACAGCCCTGTTTCCATAGTTTACAATTAAAAGGACATGTGAAAATTGAGTGTGGAGGCAGGGTTATAAAACATGATTAATTCAACAGGGAATCATAAGTAATTTACACTATACTAAAGTTTTTGTTTATTTCAGAGGCATAAAATAAATTGTGACCGTTCAAATGGCATTATAGAAATGGTGATGGACCGATTTACAATTGACAATGAAGGTACCTACACAGTACAGATTCAAGATGGAAAGGCCAAGAACCAGTCTTCATTAGTTCTCATTGGAGATGGTATGTTCACCGAAACATTGAAACTTTGACTCTGATGAAGAAATGAATTTTAGTTATTCTTGGAGTAATTTTGTGACTAACTCATTTTTCATTCACTTCTAAAATTTAGCATTCAAGGCAGTATTGGCTGAGTCTGAGCTCCAGCGAAAGGAATTTCTCAGGAAGCAAGGTATGACAGAGTAGACTGGTGATTTTAGGCCCAGTTTGCAGCTAATGATGCATCCCTGGTGAATACTAAGTGCGTCCAACTTCCATTGATTTCATTAGAAGATGAATATATTGCAGAGTCTGAGAAGACACTGAACCCTTGGTGGATCTTATTTTCCAGCATTGTGATATGATACATGCAGGTTGTGACAGAACTTTCGCTAAGTAAAGAAATAAAGTGGGAGTCCCTACAAGAGGTTATCTGCTCAATATTCATGAGAAGGGTGCCTACTGTAGGCTCTCATCCAACAAAACATTCCAGCACATTTATTTTTAAGCATACAAATTGTCCCTTCAATATAATTGACAGAAGAGTTGACAGCATAGCATCAGACAAGGAAGATTAAAAACCAGATCCTGTGGTTTCTGTCCAGGCAAAATTCCAGGAACTAAATGTATATTTGTTGCATAGTTGCTATACAGTTTCAGAGTTTGTTATATACTTGCTATCAATATTGGTTGCAGCTGAAAGTAAGAATTACTATTGGATACCTAATTCAGAATTCTATCACTGTGAAATGCTTAAAAAATTGAGTTTGAGCTCTAGTTTGTAATTTTTGCTTGGCAAGCACATGGCTTTTAGGATGAAAGTAATAATAATAATTAAAAGCATTTATTCTAAATAGCTTAGATAAAATTCTCTACATAAGCAATGTAATTCGATTATTTTCTATTTTGGGGGGGGATTATTTATTTTTTTTTTAATAGATTTAGGAAGGAAATTATACCACTTACAGCATAAACTCACAAGATCTACAGTTCTCAGTGACTTAAGTGAAAATCTGGGACTTTACTACCTTCCAGGTCTGGATATTGCAGTTATGGGCCCTGACCCTGCAGACACTAAAACATATAACTTTACTGACATGAGTAAGCACAATAATTTTAAAAAGGCTATGTATGTCAGTAAATTTACTTAAGGATATACATATACTTGCAGAATTGGAACCTCAGTGGGGAAAAGGAATAGTTCCTGTTCTGCTGGTAATGTTTCATACATTTTTTCACTTTATATAATTTAGACAAATAATGTCTGGCATGGGATTTTTGCTTTGACCATTTAATTGGGTGTTTGGATACATTTGTTTATTCTCCAGTTCCCTTTGCATTAAATACATTGTTTGTACACTTGTTTGTAGCTACTCTGTTTCTTTCCTATGCTTAGCTGGCAATTGGGCATAAACATATTTAGTAAATTAATCTGTCTCACCATTTTACGTTTTGGAATTACATGAATTATCATAAAACCAGAGATAAGCCTCAGGTTTCTAAACTGTACTGTAGACACCTGGGTCAATACAATAAAAACTTACTACAGGATTTTCCTTTTAGTGCATAGGTAGTTGAGGAGTTCCCTCTCATCACTCTGATGTAAGGATGTTATAATATAATTGTCATCCTTTTTCTTTTTTTCACTGCATCTCTCTGATACTCTTCATTCTACAACATATGCTTCAAAACAATTTTGTTTCTTAGGTCCTCACTTCTCAGAGTTTCTGTATTGGGAAGTTACAGAGGAATGTGAAGTTTTACTTGCTTGTAAGGTGAGGAAATATACTTGAAATAATTTGTTAGAATGTGTTGATTTAAAGTTGAGGTAGGAAATATGAGGAAAGATTTTGATATTTTTAAAATTAAAAGTTTCATATGAAAACTTTTTTTTATTATTTAGAAATATTTAAAATAAAAATTTCTGACTTACTAGTCTTCTGCTGTATTCTTCATTAAGACAAAAAAAAATTTACAGAAGACTTCTAAATGTGATAGGTGATCTAATTCTTTATAATAATTGTGAACCATAACAATAATTTAAACAAAATATTCATCCAAAGCCAGAGTTCAAACTCTTTCCTCACCATTTTCTGATTTAAAGGTTCCTCTACCAAAGCATCTGTTATTTAATCAACTGTAACCAAACATGCAACAAAGGCTTCTAGAATTAAAGTTATAAAACATGATTTTTATTATATTTGGCTAATGACCTTTGAATCTTAACTAATGCTAATGTGCATGGAATTCAGAGTAATTTCTGCTGTTAACATCTTTATATGCCATTCTAAACTGATATATTTTAATTTGTGTTGCTCTTCTAGAGTGACTAATTAGAGGTCTGAATAACTAAATTAATTGAATTGAACAGGCATCAAACTCCTTTTCATTGCCTTTTCTTGTAATATGGACTCTTTTGTATTAATTTTCTCCACTTCTTTTGAGTAAGCTTTTGGCTTTTAATTAGACTAACTTGAATCATTCATTATGAGCAATTCACATGCACATTTGTGGAATTTTTTTCCTTTTTTTTCTGCTCACTAATTAGGAGACCTTTAACCTCAACTTATTCCCGGCAGAACTGGCCTGGGTGGTGAAGCTGCCATTCTGTGTGCCCCCATTTTAAGGCTCAACACTCATTAGCTAAGATGGTACCTTTGCTGGTACTGAGCTGCATAGCTGGTGTACTTTATAATCTCCACATGCATTTGCCTCAGACATGAACCCTGCTTATCCTTTCCTTCACATGTGGAATTATATGTTGCCTAACCAGTTATACTAGTGTTAATTCTCTACAAATTAATCTGAAATTATCCTTCTCTTCATTGACTGTCAAACCTGTTTATACCACTGAAACTGTGAAAGGCTGAGTGTCTGATTATATGCTTTTCACCAGTGTCCTTTGTGTTCATAAGGCCAGAACATTTTATGTAAATGAAATGTAGGATATGGGCTGTTTGCACACTTGTCATTTTAACTATGCCATTGACCTTAAAATGTTTGTTACTGTTAGTATGTGACTGGCCATTAGGTTCACATGGTACTGTTGTTTATGCTTGCTTAACTGATATTTGTACATAGGAAGAGTTTAAACAATAAAGCCTGGATTTGTCCTATAAACTTCAGATACCTGACATTTGAGTTACAAGTGTGGCTGACCTGGGCTATTTCTGTGCTAATAAAAACCATCTAAGGAACAATCTCTGCTTCCCCAGGCCATATCATAGCACTTGGCCCAGGTCTCTTCTAGGCTCTGTTTTGTGCTCCTGCGCGAAAGTAATTGTCATGGGTGATTTTACCTCTTGAAAGAGCCTGGGATAATGTGAAGGAAGTACCTGTAAGAAAGGGCTTTTTGCCTTGACTTTCTCAAAGGCCGTGGCATGAAATAGGGGACTTAGGAAACCAGGCCAACTGAAAGCTTGTGTGGGGCAGAAGATGGACTGTATGATTCAGGTTCATAACAGTAATAATGAACAAATATGGGTTGTGTTATAAAACAGTATATCCAAAGTAATACACATTACCTCACATATCACTTATTTTCTATGTGATTGGACCTGATTGACTTTTGATTGACTTAGTGTTTAATTCTGAAATAGCTGGGATTGATGACCTTGTTCTTGGCATTGTAGCCCTTGCATGCCTGTGGGACATGTTTGTACATATGAGTGATAATTTGATGGTGTTTGCTTTTTATTGTGTGTTTATTTTTCTTCATACGCCAGCATCTACTATCATTTTTCTTCAAGTACCTCTAAATTTCAGAATGTTCAGAAGCTACCTGCTTTTGTATAACTTTGACCCTTATTTGTACTGTGTCTGTTAAAAGCAAGATTTTTGGTGTGTGGCTAAACAGCGAAAAAGGTAACTTTTCAAAGTAAATGTCAACATGAAATAACTTCAGCAGTGCAAATTGCATGTGAAACTCAGTCTATTTATTGTCAGATTGAGTGCTAACAGTCTTTGATGAAAAATTGTTGAAAAGCATTAAAGGCTTATTCCTTCAGGCTTTGTTCAAATAAAATTGTCACTCATGTCATATGACTACAGGAATAGCCACTTTGTAGTTACTGGTAAATGTAAAATGCTGCTCACTTTTCTCAAGCAAGGCATTGCTTTGGGCCAGGTTGTGATCTCAAATACTCTGTCAGAGATCCATAGCAAGCACACTGGTTATTAAGCAGCAATATATGTGATTAATGTGAGCAGGTTTTATAGAGATGTTCAGGAGTCAAAAAATAGGAGGCCCTCCTATTTGTCTAGTCTCCTCTAGAGAGCTTTCATAGACCTGTCCATCTATGGAATGACTTCTCTAATATGAAAGTGTTAGAAATTGGTGCATGTATTTTCCTCCAAGCAAGCCACTTGAAACTATTGCAGATCTGTATTAACTTCTGGGCTGCCCTCTATCCATTTGTTCAGTTCTTTTTTAAGGAGACTTTTTAAAGCAACTGCCTGGGGACTGAGAAATGTCCTGCCAGCTCTGTCCTTCTGCCAAAGCCACGCTGACTGGGTATCCAGGCTACGCACAGAAATACTATTGCATTTTTGTGATTTTTGGAAGGGTATGGGGATAGTGATGTCAAAGAAACCATAGTGTTTCTGAAAGGGAGAAAAATAAAATATATTGCCAGGGTTTCTAAAAAGAGCTGGGCTTTTAGCTTCTTTGAATTCGTAGTTTGAGGACATTCATCCAGAGATATTTTAAGCATCACCAATACACAATTTATATTTCAAAATCAGAGCAGTACTTGAGGTATGCCTGTAGGCTATTTATGCATTTCTTAGATGATCTGCTGCTACTACAGCAAAATTCTGGCTTTCAAGCGACTTCTCTGCATTTGCACTACGTTGTGAAGCCCCTTTTTGTTGGGAGAGACTGCAATTTGTAGGATTCCTCAAGTCTTTGTACTTCTCATAGGACACAATGTAGAAGAAAAAAAGGATATCTGGTACAGCTCACAATTTTGAAGTCTCAAATGCTTTCAGAATAATAATTTCTGTTGCTCTCTGCAGTGTAGCCCTGGAAGACATTGCTTAGGTAGCTGGGATAAATCTGCAAATTGGCTGAAGACGCTCTAAGATAGGGCCTGAGTTCTGTGTTACAGCTCTCTGGAGACACATGGCAAACACAAAAAGATAAAGCAGAGTTCAGCAGCTCTAATTTCAAAGATACTCCTCAAAGATATCTCTAGAAAAACTACAACCACATAGCGAGGGTGCAAAACCCTTTAAGGGAAGAGATTGACAGAATTGCCTTTAAGGATTTGACAGGGCTCTGAAGGTGTAAGCTCTATACTTCTGACCAGTTCTGTGCTGCAAATAAATACCGTAGGACTAAGGTTTGCTTAGTAGCACTTGGTTGAAATTGGTTTTTTACTTAGCTTTATTTGACATGTGTTATAAAAAAATTGACTTCTTATGTTGAAAGTACCTGTGTGACTACCTACCTGTGATCCCTTTCTTCAGGACATAGCCAGGCTTATGTGCCTTTTCTGTTGTACAGGTTGCGAACACAAAGAAGGAGACTGTTTTCAAGTGGTATAAGGATGGTTCTGGGATTGACGTTGAGGTGCCTGATCTGCAGCAGGGAAAATGTCACCTTAGTATTCCCAGGGTACAGTATCACCTACTGATTAGAATTGACAGCTTCTGCTTGACACGCTATAGATTTGCCAGGCAGAGCACTAAACCAGCTATCATGATTTCCGTGAACTGTTTTAAGAAAAAGCATATTTGCTACCCTTCAATTAGCTGGTGAGTAACTAATGCTGGTAAAAGAGTATCTATTTTTGTTATCAGCTCAGACAGTTCATGCTTAAGTTGCTTCAGCGTCCGTAGGTAAACTCTATCTCGTTAGTTCTTATTGCTCCTTAATTTATCAATTTGTTCAAGCACCTCATTTCTGACAGTGTTTCAGTTTTATTGCCTAAAATGAATAGGTTTGAGGTATATGAATTCTTAAGATTTATCTTTATGCAAACAGGACAACCTTACTTGGGTCTGAAGCCTTAGCTTGCATAGTTTCTGCCTTTGTCAAGTGCCAAAACCTCCCCAGATCGAGTTTTTCTGCTTTCAGCATAATGTGCATTCCATTAAATTTATGTATTTATTTATTGGTTTCATATTCTTCTAATTTTCTTCCTTCACTTCACTTGCAAGAGGATACTGACTTTCCAGTGGCTTCATCTTTCTTGACGAGACTTTTTTGGGGGAGGGTGGTTTCTGCTTGTCTTGAATTGTTCTTGTTACTTGTCATTCAATTATATGATGCTTCTACTATGATTTACTTGCTTGTGGCCTTGTATAAGTCTAAGACTCAATTAAATAACCTCCCAACTATATATATTTATTTATATATTTTTCCTTCAGGTTTTAAAATAAATTAAAATAAAACCACCCCCCCAAAAAACCCCTGCTGCCTTTAATGCAGTATCACTGTGTTAGATTTTAGAATGTAAGGGTAATGAATTCATTATTTACTTAGCATAGATATAATTTGACTACAGTTGCTGCTTGAATGAAAGCTACTGAGTTGATATCTGGACAGTTAAAGGATATAGATCTGTTGTTATGCTTTACATAGATTGATTCAAAAAAGTAATCATTTTGGTTGAAGAAAAATTTCATTTCTAAAGTTTGTGTGTGTTGAAGTTACCCTCTGTTACATCTTACTACACTACTTGTAATTTCTACTGACCAGGATCAACTCTTTTTGTCTTTTTGGAACCAGACTAAAAACATGGTTTCTCAAGGCAGTTGAACTGAAATCAGAATATGTTTTAGGCTTAAGAACTAACTACAGCTCCATAAAAAACATGCACAAGCCATTCATAGTTTCCATCTCATTTCTGGAAAGATTATTTAACCAGAATGCGGTACGGTGTATGCTGTTTGATTCAGAAAATCATGCAGGGGTTGAGCAAATGTTGTACTATTATCAAGTTTGTCAGTAAACGTCTTGTGTTTTCCTTGTAGCTGTCTCGCAAAGATGAAGGAGTTTATAAGGCAACACTATCAGATGATAGAGGTCATGATGTATCTACTCTTGAATTATCAGGAAAAGGTAACATTTAGTTTACTATATTGAAATAATGATCTCCGTATGTTCACAAGAGGTGTCAAAGATCTATCCTTGCAAATGGCAAGTTAGCAAACATTTTTGGGGTCCTTTGCATTTCATTTCTTAAGTTATAGAGGCCTGAACTGCAGATCACCAGTTTAGGAGGGGTGATACTGGTCATTGTAATGGTTACTCTCTAGTACTCTGACAGGCAAGAAATGAAGTAAGTTTCTAATCAGGCAGACACCCCCTTTTATGTGAGATCTTTTGTAGAGAGCTCTCTCTCTCTCAAATTTGTTAAGCTTTAATATCTACAAACCCCCCTAAAGCACCAAAGTGCTGAATATGTTGATGTAGGTCTGTCTGTGGCGACTGAGAGTTATTTTGATTGTAAAATCATAAAGCTGTATTGTAGGTTAACTCCAGTAGGCAGCTCAGCCCCACATAGCTACTCGCTTCCCTCCCTGCCACCAACCCTGGTGGGATGGGGGAGAGAACTGGAAGGGGAAAAGCAAGAAAACACGTGGGTTGAGATAAAGACAGTTTAATAGATAAAGCAAAAGCTGTGCATGACGGCAAAGCAAAATAAGGAATTAATTCACTTCTACCCATCGGCAGGCAGGGGTTCAGCCATCTCCAGGAAAGCAGGGCTCCATCACATGTAATGGTGACTTGGGAAGACCAACACCAAAACTCTGAAAGTCTCTCTTCCTCCTTCTTCCCCCAGCTTTCTATGCTGAGCATGACGTTCTATGGTCTGGAATACCCCTCTGGTCAGTCGGGGTCAGCTGTCCCGCCTGTGTCCCCTCCCAACTCCTTGTTCACCCCCATCCTCCTCACTGGTGGGGCAGTCTGAGGAACAGAAATAAAATGCTTTCATGCTGTGCAAACACTGCTCAGCAATAGCTAAAACATCCCTGTGTTATCATCAACACTGTTTCAGTCACAAATCCAAAACACAGCACCATACAAGCTGCTATGAAGAAAATTAACTCCATCCCAGCCAAAACCAGTACAATCTCCGCCCCTCATTCCATACCATTTATGTCATGTTCAGGAGTCACACTATCTAATACATCCTCATTAACCACCTCCTCCATTCCTGTCCTTTGGTACATACACAGATATCATTCTCTTAGTCTATGGATTTTCAAGTAAGGGGTATCCTGACCACTGGAATAAACAAAAGGTACAGTAGTTCTCCATCTTATGGTCAGGGGTCCTTCCAGAGACTATACTTCAGGTATGGTAAGACAGTGCTGTGCTGCAAGTGTACAGTGAAATGCCTATTTAGAGAATTCATAGTGTCTAATTCTGTGGGTCCAGGAAGCTTTGAAAATGTCAACCAGCAAAACCACATGAACTGCAGTGTTAAAACGAACAGTGGGTCTCCTAAATGGTGGAGTTAGCCTTGAAACGTAAAGGATAAACAGAGAAGTTTAGCATGAATGGGACCCTGGAAGACTGCATATTTTATGGGGCAGGTTAGTTCAAGCTCAGGATGCATTGGCATTCAAATGAAAATAAATGCAAATAAGGGTAAGAGAATCTAGTCTAAAATGCACTGATGGTAGGCATTTAAATAAGGTTTCATATGTTATCAGATATCACAGTAAGCTACTGTAATTCTACGTATATTTAAATTTGTTCAGTGAAAAAAAAGTTAGTTTACTTCTGAGTCTATAGCAAAGATTGATCTGTTGCCAACATAAATGATTTTTACTCAACTTGGGCAGAGAGATCTTCCTTGGGCTTCTTTGCTTAGGTCCCACCAACTAAGCCAAGGTGAACCTGGATTCATCCCACCTGCATGTAGACATTTGACCCAAATAATGAATATTATTTGCTGGGTCCTAATAGAGGGAGAAAGGCATGTTCAAAAATTAACTCAATTTACCAAAGATCTTAATATTTTTTTATTTTCAGCAGGTTGGGGAATTACCTGAAATAAGAGGAAAAGATGAATATCAGACTGAGTTCTTAAGCGATTCATGTCCTCATGTCAACATGCCAGTAGAAGCATAGTGGAGTTTGCAGACAGTTACAGAATTGAATCACGATTTATTTTAGCAGAGACAAAAAATGTGCAGATACAGATCAATACAGACCAAATATACAAGTAGTGTTTTCTGAACTTCATGCATTTCGCTGTCTTCCCTCTTCATAAAAATTCTTCAGCCTTGAATATGCATTCTTCAGATTTTGGTGCTTCTTTCTTTCTCTTTCCATCTTAACACAATGACACTGAATAGGATTCTTCTGCTATGAAAGAGTTCCCTGTTCTTCTGCTGTTGTCTCCAGGGTTCTCCCCTTCTGCAAACCCATCATCTCTCTGATATTTCAAAAGCTTGATATGATACCTGTTTTCTTTCACTTGCTGTTGAAGGGGTTTACATTTGTCAAATGCCAACCTACAGGGAGCAGGTGAAAACTGTTTTCACCTAGAATGTGATAATTTCTCTTTCCCCTGCACTCTCCTCTGAATGTGAACTATCTAGTTTTAATGACCTTTTATTGTTTCTGGCCTGAGGGATACAAAGACAAAGATTTGACAGCAGACAGCTGACTCCAGACACAGCAGAGATACTGAGTGACACAGCACAGAATTCATATGCTGTACACAGTCAGTCTCCAATTTGTCCTATACACCTGTTGCAATTTTAATGGTTTTCTTTGCCTAAGGATGTGAAGACTTCCCATATTGCTTTAATTAAACTGAACATAACAAAGCTATATTCGGATTGGATTTTGATGGTACATTTTCTTTTTTTTTTTCCTTTTTTTTTTTTCTCTTCAGTGTACAATGATATAATTCTGGCATTGAGCCGAGTCAGTGGTAAGTAAATGCTGTCTTGGATTTTCACGTAGGTTTTTAATGTTAAAGTCATCTGAGCCTGAGGCAGAAAATTTTTATTATAAGTGGGAAATCTCTGAGAGTCATGATGCTTATATTATTATGGACATGTTATTAAGTTTCTGAATAGGCAGTTGACCTTGCTAATTGACACTATTAAAAGGGAACAAAGTATTATTCCACCTGGCTTGTTTGGTTTAGATACTGTGACAATGTTGTAGCAATAATTTTCTTCTGACATCCCACTGGTAAGTGAACCTTGATACAGAGAGAAGGAGATTCTGATCCTGCTCCCAGTGAGAAGTTGCGAGTCATTCCACTGAAAGAAAAGGGGGTGCACAAGAAAAAATTTTTTGTGCAATTAGAATCATGACACTACTGTTTCACGGCAATTACATGACTAGCTTATTGTTTCACAATGGATCTTGCTAGTCATAATGCTTGTATATGACAATAAAACCATAAACTCATACTGAACTTTTACCTGATATAAATCAGCAGATCTCCTTTGAGATGCATGACCAATTGTCTCTTTGTAGTAGTTGAAAATCATGGCCCACATCTTGAATTTTTCTTGTCCTGACAGTACAAGTAGTTCATTTGACTGTTTCCTATTCATTCCACTATCCTGTTTGATCTGCATATATTCTATTTTACGTAGGTAAGTCAGCCTCTCCACTGAAGATCCTTTGCACTGAGGAAGGAATAAGGCTCCAGTGTTTCTTGAAGTACTACAATGAAGAAATGAAAGTTAGCTGGTCTCACAGGTAGATGAGAATATTTTTTTCAATTTTGAGAAAAAATTTCATCTTTATGTTTTACTATTTACTATTCTGTGGCATTCATTTAGTAACTGGACCACATTAATTAATTTCTCTTTCCAGCACTTCATATTCTCTTTTCACATAGTACATACAGTAAAAGAAATTTTAAGAGACTTGTTCAACACGTATCAGGAGGGCTGTAACAGCCAGGAAAAAAGAATCTACAGTATTCCAGCCTCTTATTCAACACAAGACTGTTTGTTTTCCACTATATTATCTCATTGGTTCAAAGATAGCAAAATACTCGAGCATAGTTTTCTACTCAGAGCTGCCCTTTTCTTTAAATGGATTAAATTCTCCTCCAATACTAGGTGAATAGAAAGGATGTGCTCTCACAGTTTAATAAAAGCTTGTATTAAGAAAGGAATTTTTTTTTTTTTCCAAACTGATACAGTCTTAAGTAACCAAAAATATTTTGATTCTGTTCCTCTTCTTTGAAAAGATACTCAGTGGGGCACAGAATACTTCAAGAATAGCCCTCAGAGCTGACAATATGACCAGAAATGAGCTTTAAAGTTCCCAATAGTTTTCCACCCTCATGTTACATTAATCATTGACTGCAGAGGCACTCTCTTCATCTGTGTATTTACAGTTAAATGTGTGCTCAAATACTTTGCCATGTCAGGCCCTCATTTGTTTGAAACCACAGGTAAGGTTTGGAAGGATTTTAAAACTCTTCAAGAGGTTTCAACTTTCACATTCCTTGATGGCCTGCAAAGATGACACACAGTGAACTGGTCTGACTTGGACAGGAAGAGGCTGGTTTATCAGCATGTTGTCATAGTTTTGCAATGCTGCCCAGCCCTTGATTTCTATGAAGACAGGAACACAAGAAAGTGTCAGTGATCATCAGGTTCAGGGAGCTCGAGAACACTTCTGCAAGGATGTGCAGCTGTAGTCATAACTCAAGCTTTGTATTCAGTAAGTTCTGCGCCTTCTTTCAGTAAATGTGGTACTGATATGATGGAAAGGAAAAGAAAAATATTTTTTGCCTCTGCCTTTTACTATATCTGCTTGAGTTTTAAAAGTGACTTAGTCCATTCTACCATCCAGTTCATAGAAATGTAAAACTAAGAATGCTACATGGCTAATAAGGAAATATCCGCGTGCATATTTATATTTACATAGACACCTCCCCCCTCCTAATATTTCAGATTTTATAATGTCTTGCACATTGATTGTCTTGAAGATCATTAAACACAGATTTTGAACAAATAAAATTTCGATTCTTCCATGAATACAAAGATTATAAGCCGGAGTTGTTGAAGCTAAAACAAAGACTAAACCAACCAACCAAACCAACCAACCTCCCCCAGCATCTCCAAACCTCCCTGCTCTTTTAAATGGGGTTCTAGCAAATCTTTTCTTGGAAAAAATGAAAGGCTAGACAATACATGTTTTTTTACCATTGTCTGCACATCATGAAACATACCATGTAAATTTCTAGCTAGCTTTGAATTATCCATTATACTGCATAGCAGGGAACATAATACAAGTCCTAAAGCCAGCATGCATCATCCACTCATGGCACACTGGGGAATATTATATGTAGTATTTTCTAATACATAGTAATTTCTATCCAGGTATCTAATTTGGTACGCTGAACTCAATGTAGTCGTCTTATAGGAAGGGAAATAGTAAAAATTCCTTTTCCTCATCAGAGTAACTCTCTAGCTATGAAGCCAGATCAGCCCTGTCTGGGTGAATAAAATAACTGATAAAAGAGAAGCTAATGCTGACTTCATCTATTAAAAATTCCAGCTAAACATGCTTGGGGAGGAAGGATGAAAACAAGTATTTCTTTAGTTAATGAGTGAAAGAGGACACTTCTCTTCAAACCATTGGAAGTGATCTGGTTTGCATGCTCTCATTAAATAGTTTCTTCTATTTCCACTCTTCATGACAGATTATGGACCAGAAGAACCCCTGATGTGAATCAGTAGGGCGTTTCTTATATTAGCTTAGGAAGTGATGATAAGTCAATATAATGCCACTGGTTTTTAAAGACCTGTTTATTAATTATCTGCAGTTAGAATATTTGCTTCTTGTCTTGTTCTTAAAAAACCCAAAACCCCCCTACAGGTGTATTTTGACTTGATGCAAGAATAATAAATTCTATGCAAAACTTTTATTGTTTTCTTAATTGATTTTTGAAGTTAATGAAAAATATAGATATTTTTCCTCATCAGAAAAGGTTCTTTGCCTCTAGTTTTCTATTCTGATGTATTCTATGTTAGTATGCATGAAGTGTACAGAAGTCTAAAGTCATGCACCATTTTCACATACAGACATGAATGTGCATATAAACACAGACGATTGTGTATGTGGAGAGAAGAAGAGTGAGAAGCGGGTGAACAAATTAATCTTTGGAATGAAAGCTCAAGCTAATTGTTTCAAAGGGTTTCATACCCCCAACAGGAAGAAAAGAATCTTCTGGGAAATTGCTCCCATTAGTTGCAATTTATCTTTAGTTTAGGAATAGTATGTTATCCTTATATCCATCTTTTTATCCATATATCCTTATCCATCTTTTTATAGATGATCTCCTATGGAGAATATACATGAAAAGAATGTTCAAACTAATTTTTTTTTTTTTTTTTACCCAGGGAATCTAAGATTCCTTCTGGTGAAAAGATGAAGATTGGAGGTGGAGAGGATGTTGCCTGGCTGCAGATAGTTGAACCCACTGAAAAGGATAAGGGGAACTACACCTTTGAAATCTTTGGCGACAAGGAATCCTACAAACGCACACTTGATCTGTCTGGGCAAGGTAAATTTATAAGACCATATAGCAACTTTTCATGGATTAAACAGAATTTACTGGCAATAATCAGAGGAATGACAGTAAAAACGGAAAGCCTTTGGTCAGAACCAATTGTAGTTTAGTTGCACAACCGTTATGATCTTTTTAGTCTTGTATCTGTTTTCACCACCAGTGGCATTGAGTTTCAGGGATTTGGTTTCCCATTTCACTACTGTGTAACCCTGTACTGATTTTAAAAGAGCTTTAACATGAGTATGTGTTTGAATGTTTATACTGAGCCCAAAGTGCAAGTTATGTTCATGGACCATAGCACTCTCAATTGTTTTTTTTACAGCTTTTGATGATGCATATGCAGAATTCCAGCGACTCAAGTAAGTGCTACATCTTTTGCATTTTAATGCTGTAACAACAGTGTCATTACTTACAGAAAACAAAAATTATTAATAATTTCATTAATTTCATTATTTATTTCTCTTCCTCTCTTCAACAATTTTAGGGCAGCTGCTTTTGCTGAGAAGAGTAAGTTTATTTTACATTTTATCAAAGGTGTTCTACAATGTAGTCTAGTGTTCTCTTTAAGGCGTCCGTCATGATATGCTGCCATAGCTTTCAGAGTTTTGTGGCTGCAGTAATTCCCTGTTAACACATAATACTGCAATAATAATAGTATTTTGTGGATTTATTTGTTTCTAATTCCAATGGAAACCCACTAAAAGCTTTACACATTTTGCAAGCCTCCACTGTATCTTCTTGTGTCTGCAGAGGTTTTGTGGCTGTGAGCTTCTGGGTGTCATACAAGGAGATGTTGACTCTGAAAGCTGCTGTTGATACTGAATATTGAGATCTACCTATTAAGTAAAAAATCACCTGCTAGTGCCTGTTGGGCAGTGCTTGCTGAGACACTGACAGTGGGGAAGCTTGTTACTGTTGAGGTGCTGTAGGAATTCTGGTACTTTGATATCAGTTCCCCTGGTAATGACAAGATGCTTCTGCCCACAAAGAGATTGGCAGAACAAATTTTCCTTAGATCTTAGATACCACCAAGATGCTAAAAGCATCCTTTTTGCTTTGCTCTGTGCCCAAAGCACAAACTGTCAAGCTCAGCTGTAGCTTCAAGGTTGTTGTATGTATCAGTTTAGAATGCTATAGCACAATCTCTGCTAAAAAAAGAGGGGACCATAAAATACATTAAAAAGAAATAACACAAAATATCACATAAATTGTATTATTTTACGTCGTTTAACCAGGAACTACAGTTTGTTTAAAGATAAGTCCAAACAAAAGCTGCGACTAATATGATACCACGTTATAAAATCAGTAAGAAATGAGTAATTTTGAGGTCTAAACTTCACACGGTTCACATATTTTTCTTTAACTCCTAGATCGTGGTAAAGTCATTGGTGGTTTGCCTGATGTCGTTACTATAATGGATGGGAAGGTAAGGATAATGTTTGTCAATGAGTCATGCTGACTGGTGAGAAGTTTTCTTTGATGGCAAAAGGGAAGGGGATGAAGATGATTTTGTAGAAGCTGAAAGCAGAAGGAGGATAATTTAAACTACCAAATGGTAGTCATTTAATTGAGACACATGCAATTTCTAAGCAAGCACAGGTCCCATAAGCTGACTGTATGGAGAAAGCACAGCCTGATTCAGATCTTAGGCAAGCAAGGTCAGCCTCAGGAGGAGCTGGTCTTGCACTGATCATGTAGAGGCTCTAAGTTAACTGCATACTCAGATCTGGGCTGCCTTTCAGCTCTGTGTACTAAGCAGAGCAGTTCAAGGGGAGAGTCTACTCCTGCCCTGTAGAAGAAACTGAAGAGGCAGGAGGAAGCAGCCACTCTTTCAGAGCCAGTATACCAGAAACAAAAATCAGGTCCCATTCTCCAGCATGCTAGACAAAGGCTGTTATGGCTGGTAAGAGTAAAGGAGGATAAAGAACCTACCTGGGCCAAGGGGCTAAACTCTCCCCTCTTCCTACATATTGGCAGATAGCCCCATTAAAATATATAATTATGGGAGATTGAAGGCCTGTGAATACACACATTTTTTTGACATCAGTAATAACTAAATGCCCAGATACAAAGTCAAAATTGGTCAGTCTTTGCAAAGTCCCTTCCTAGGTCAGCTTGACTGGTGGAAATGAAATTTCATGATTCTGACTGACTGGTGTCCCTCACTGGGATTTTTGTCATGGTGGAGCAGGACCTCATGCAACCTCAGGCCAAACTCTCTGGGTACTAAGATGGAAGGACAAGACTATTTGAGCTGCTGTTAGTCCTTACAGGTGTGAGGAAGTAATGGAACTTGGTCTCTCCATCCTGGGCGTGAGTGCCAGACTCCAGACACCCAATCCTTCAGTCCAGGAAAGATAAATTCTTTTCATTCTTCCCATGCAGACAGCAAGTTCTTGTCTCTTTCTCCTGAAGCAAATCATCTTCTATTGGGTACCCCATCCTTCCCTATGCAGAGAAACTTAGGTCTTCAATCTGGGAAGAAAAATAACTGAAAGAGAACAGGGTAAAAAAAGAAAAGAAATCTGCAGTATTGTGCACGGTGCAGAGGAGGTACTTGGAAATGATTACCAAGCACTTACAGCACAAGAACTAGGGAATGCCTAATTACATGGTCTTTACAGGCTTTAAAGAATCAAAAAGAAGTATTTTTTTCAAGTGGTTCATAATTAATTTGTGCCTTAGTACCTTAGGCCAAAATAGATTTGGGTCCAAAAAAGAAATAGGCAATATCATGAAAGAAAGTCCAGCAGGGGCCATTAAATACAACGTTCTTGATACAACTTATGCTTATAACAGGTTTAAAAGCCACCAGATTTTGGAAAGTAGGAAGGTATACTGGGAATAGGATCACACTATTCATCTTCTGTATTTTTATATGCTTTCTTAAGCAGTTGCCTTTGACATCTAAAAGAGCTAGATGGACTTTCAGTCTGACTGACTATAGCAGATCGTCTCGTGAGCCAATGTGACTCTTACCATCTGCTGGCTATCCAGAGCATGTTGATCAGGCTGTTTACATCTCTTGCATGAAGTTCATCTTCAGACACTACAGCTGTGTTGCTCTGTGTGGAAACTGTCTTTCTTATCACCGGAGTAAGAGGTTGCACACAACCCTTCCAAATTTCTGTGTACTTGGCCATTTTCTGGATATCGAGGAGCAGCCTCTTTAGAAAGATTGGGGAACATGTGGTCCTTGGAGTGGATGTTGAAAGCTGCTCAACTCTGGACCAGAGAGAGATGATTTTCCTCTTGGCCCATTCCTTTCTTTGTCTCTAATGGGTGTTCACATGAGGTGCCTTCTTATTGTGGTAGACAGAGGCACCTCAGAGCAAGAAAGCTAGTCTTTTAGGAAGTTAGGTGTAAGTCACTCTATGACCAACATCTTAAACCAGTCTAACCATAAGGAAACAGCTTGGTGAAGTCACCCCTGACAGCATGCACAGATGAGCTGCAGTTTCCTCATACAGTCATGCCCTAAAAACTACAACCTTAAGTTAAGGAAATGCTACATAGTGCATTTCCAGAAGTAAAAGGCTTCAACAGAGACCTAATCGTGTGAGGATTAAATAACTGAATGCGTGAAGAGAAAATCTCCGATTCCTGAAATCAGGCAAAACAAAATGCATCACAAGGCAGTGAAACTTTAAAATCACCTCTAAATTAAATATGAACAGGTACCATGCAAGAGCTGTGTAGGTACAAGTGTGGGAAGTAACTATAAAAAAAAAAAAAAAGAGTGGAGAGTTTTCCTCATGCAATGGGATGGTGTAACTACACAAATATATGGACACAAGACAAAGTTTTACTAGTGCTTCTTAAGAGAATATAAATGATTTTAGGTCACATCTATAATTTAATAAATTAGAACAGGCCCAAATGATCTAAAATGACTGTGGAATAGATCTGTTCTCTAGTAAATTTTTAATGTGAACTTATTAAGACTTGATTAATTATTATGAATTAATTATTAATTGCTCTTAAATGAGGTTGCTTTTGAGCGCAGTAGTAATGAAATGTTGCCCGAGTTACAGAAAGGAGAGTAAGATTTAAACTCATGCTATTAGACATCAGTTTGGTCTCCCCAAATTTTATTTTTGTGTTTGCATCATTACTCCTTTAAATATTTTATAGTAAGGCTAGTTCCTATAGGCTCTTAGTTAACTTTATGTCCTACATGGTATCACTTCTTTAAGAGTACTCACACACTTAGGTTGTCACTAGATTGGACCCAGTGCATATAAATCTTCATTCAAGATTCCCCTCTGACTTTGGAGGCATGTAGTATGCAAGACTACTTCTATTTGTGAACATACAGCACTTCTGATCACTTAAAATTTCTTCCTCTAATTTTTTTTCTCTGTGTTATATCACACCTATTCAGTCATTATCATTCAAGAAAAATATTGCACAAAAACGTGCACATATGCACACAGACAGACTTTCTCTGCTCCTTCTGAGTCAGGACTTTTTCAAAACCTGAAGGGGCATATGGAGGGGAGGGAATATAAGGAAGCATTCTGGTAGAAACTATCAGTTTTGGGTTGTTAATTTTTTTTAACCTTTCTTCCCCCCCTCCCCCCAACACAATCATGCATATGTGAAATTTTTAACACGAATTTTAATTACCTAGGGCAGAATTTTTTGGCAGAATGAGTTTCAAGCAAAGGTGGACAAAGTAGGCACTAATCAATGCAACTTCTCAAATGATTCTTTCATTTATTCTGTCATCACTGTACCTAAATACTTAAAGTTTACATAGATATACATATGGTGGCCAAAATGGGGTTCAGCAGTAGCTATATAAAAATTTGGACGAACAACCATGAAAATTTTGTGGGCTTCTTCAATCTCCTTCTCTTCAATGGCCTACTACGTCATTTCAGCTATTCTTTGAATACGTTACACATGCATGTTACACTTTTACAACATTTATGTATTATTTATTCTTCATGAAATATTTCCATTTTACTAGTCAGCAGCACCTGGAATCAATGTCCAATGATTCATGTTATGTAGTCTATTTTTAAGTGATTTTTTTTTTTTTATCATCTCAAGCAATAACCTCAGGAGGCCTTGGCCAGAAAAGATTTGCTCAGTTCTCCTCCCTGCTGTGTACAGGGAAACTTCAAGGATGTTTTTAAACCTATCATTGCCTGAACCTCATGTCAGACTAATGGGTTGTCAGGAGTCTCCTGCAGGCAGGACTGCAATGACAGTCCAACTTACCATCTTCAGACACTGTTACCCCGAGGCTATTACTGCATCACAGTCACTGGTAAGATGGTGGAAGGACTGAATCAAAGAAAAAAAAAAATTAGGAACTCTACTTTTCAGTCCTCAAGAACATGATACCTGCCTTACTTCAATTAACTAGGAATATGAAGTGCCTGAAAGCAATACTGAGAATATTCTGGTTAAACAAATCTGACTGATCCTCAAAATTACTTCTTTTTTCCTCCCTCAGACGCTGAATCTGACCTGTACTGTGTTTGGAAATCCTGACCCCGAAGTGATTTGGTTCAAGAATGACAAGGTCTTTGAACTTAATGAGCACTATGTGTTTTCACTGGAACAAGGGAAATATGCCAGTTTAACAATCAAGGGAGTGACCTCAGAAGACTCAGGCAAATACAGCATCCATGTCAAGAACAAGTATGGTGGGGAAACAGTGGATGTCACTGTAAGTGTGTACAGACATGGTGAAAAAATGCCTGAAATTAAGCCCGGCCAGCTTGCTAAACCCAGGCCAATACCACCATCAGAAGAAGTCCTCAAACCTAAGGGCAACACAAAATCCAGTAAGAAGTAAAGGTTGACAAACAAAATAGAATACATGAGCTGTAGTTGAGGTATTCCCCCACGTAACTAGTTGGTAATGTCCAAAGGGAAACTGAGCTTTTAGGAGTTTGCTTTAGGGAGGTAGCTGTGCTATGGTGCTGTACACATCTGCAACAATCTCACTTGGAATACATGTAATAGGGTGGGACTTACAAATAGCAAAAAACCAAATGCCTGCCAGACGTTCCCATATGCAATAGCAAGTTGCACAGACGTACAGTAAACCTCCATTTCCCCCTCTCTAATCTTCCACAAAAAAACCCCAAACCTACCCAACAACCCTCTGAGAACAAATGTCCCATCAGTAAAGGTAGTGAACTGCAGTTAGAAACATATTCAGAGATGGTTCCTGCTTTGCTCCACACACAGTCCCTTTGGCTTTGAAGCCTCTGATCCTTTAAGTCTAGTGGACAGTCTCTAATTAGTAGTGATACTGTTGTTTTATAGCGTGACTTTATCTTTAGTAGACTTTTACAAATGTTCACTGTTTACTCATTGAAGCATAGGTCACATGGTTGCATTTTGTTTTTCTTGCTTTGTGCTAATAAAACTTTAAAAGTCACCTTTGTTACTCATTGCTCTGAATCACACCTAACTAGTTCTGTTTACTCTCTTTCACTGTTTAATTATTGCTTATTGCAAAATTTCACAGCTGGTAGCATGCAGACTATCGACTTTCAATAAAGAATGCAAATTACGGTTAATCACAGTCACTGGGTGGCACTTGCAACAATTTTTACTCTTTACAATACACATCAAGATGCAAGCTTAAACTGGTACCAAAAGACATGTACACAATTCAGTCACTTAAGATAATTATGTCTTTGATTCTCCTCTATCCAAAATGAACAACAGAACTCTTCCATGGATGAAGTGATGTTCTGCTAGGCAAAGACTTCAATATATGCTTATCATGAAACATTGAAATAGAACAGACTTCAGTGAGATTACTCACATATCTGTACATGATTGAGTGTTTGCAGCGGTGTCTTTTTCAGATCAGGTTCTCTGTTCAATAAAAGTCCATTTATCTACCTAGATGAACCTCTGTAATTTGCTAAGCCACTTTCAGCAAAGAGTTCTTCTAATGGTAAGTAACACTGGTGATTGATACAAACATCCCAGATGCGGCCCTCCTCTCTTGTGACTTCTCCCAGTCTCTCGGATAAATGCAAGGAAAAGGGAGCACTGTGGGAGACGGGAGCTTGGATGAGGGGTGGCCTGGAGAAACGGCACTCTGCAAAATCTTCACTGGAGAAACTGGATGGAAGTGTTTGACATAAGTGGTGGGACTGTAACTTGTGTTTGGGGTCATGGCTGAAAGCCAGCGCTGAGTGTCTGATAGTGTCTGAGCTTAAGTGTGGAAAACACAGAAATAATAGTTCGGGCTTCCCCCTCCCTTCCCCTCCCAGCAGAGAAACTGAAAAAACAGGAAAATGAATAGTTTCAGAGTAAATTTAATCTCAGGGCTTTTTTCCATTTTTTTTCCCCTCACCTAATTGACATAGACCTTCCATTGTTTGTCTGGCAAACAAATACTTCACTTGATTCAAAAAATGTTTTATTTTCGAGACAGATGAAAAGCAGAGGAAATAAGAAGCTAATTTACAAGCTGTCAGGTACAGTAGGTTGGAGCACTCATCTGGGAGTCAGGAGAGCAGCATTCCACTTCTCCCTTCTCTCCATCCATGGGGATTTGGACCTGTATCTCTGACCACCAAGAGCAGTGCACTAATGCCCAGCCTTCCCTGTATTTGGAAGTGCTGCTTCTGTTGATCCTTTTTTACTTTGTCTGACTAGGTAAACAGACTGAAAAAGGGACTAGGCCTAGGCATCCTACCTCTCACATGAGCATGTTAAATGCTAGATTTGAGAGGTTTTCTCCCTTTCTTGTACTTTACCTTAGTTTTCAGTATTGAAGGAGGGATTGAGGGTGTGGTGCTCTGGACTATTTAACAACCTGATGGTTTGAACAGATAATGATGAAGATGAGAATGGATTCATTGTAGTTTCAAATTCCTTGGGTAAAAAAGACTGCAAGTCTCCTTTGCAATTCATTGATATCTGTGAGTAGTCGTGATAAAAAACATCAGGCCAGCTCTGGAAAGGAGAGTCTTTAATCACACTTTATTAAAAGATGCTTTGATTTTTAAATAAACAGCTTTTTGAAAGATTTATGTACTTAGAGCCAATGAACAGTGGGTTTATATTTAAGTACAGTATAACCAGCCAGGAATTACATTGGCCAGTGATGAAAAATGCTTCTTTTGGGGAAAAATTCTTGTGGCTGTGGAACCACATTCTGTGTCTGGTCATTGAATGAAAGTGTCCGAGAGGGTTAAAGGCTCAAGGACATGATATTGCTGTGAGACAGTTTAATTAAAAAATTTCAGGACACAAAGCAAAGCAAAGATTTATCTTCCAAATATCTATCAAAATAAAAAAAAATATTTTTATATGAATTTGTCATCACAAGAACTTCAGCAAATCTCTTGATAAAATAACTCAAAATTTCTTCTTTCTATTCTAATTTCTTATTAAAGGCTTTTCAGGTTTTCAAAATCTTACCATGGCAGGCTCACAAAACATCAGAGCAAGTCTCCGTAGCATACAAAGTGAGTATCAGCAAGAATTTAATATTATTCTTATCTCCTTCTACAGTACACAAGTTAATTTTAGCTGACACTATCAAATTATTGCATGTTATGGCAGCTTTTCAGAGGTATCCTTGGGCACAGGAGACAAGGTTACTCTCATCTCAGTTGTACCTTTAGCTGGCCTTCTTAGTTAAGCAAGCTTCACTTATTTCCTTCCAGGCAAACAGAAATAATTTATTATGACAGTTAATCCTCTGCTGAAGTACAGAAATTATCATTCACAGGAACATTGTATTCAAAAGGCTAAGGACTTCCTATAAACTGTTTCACATTTTTCAGTGTTCAGCGTACCTTTGATTCTTTTGTACACATTTTAAAATCTTGTTATCAGTGCTATGAAATGAATTGGGTCAACTCTGTTTAAAAGGGCTATCTTTTTAGAGCGAATGTGCACCTAGTTGCCCGGAGGGGCAATACAATTGGATGGATATTAGAGGGACAAATAGGATGCTCTGGTAATCAAGTCAGATGCAATACATGATGAGGCATATTAGCATTTGCACACACCCTTCACAGACTTGGTGTCAGCATTAGTTTAAGTAATAAACATTTCGAAAGGGGAAGGGAAGAAAGTAAGATTTGCTGGGGAAGGTCTGATGCCACATGAGCCTACCCACTCTAAGGTCAAGGGAGATTGACTCATTTATTCTGGATATGAACCTAGACTGTTGTTTTTGCAAATCCAGGGGCCCATTACAGTGAATTAGCTATTTCTGTTACCTTTAAGAAGAAATGTTTCTATTAGCATAATTTTCTGTCACACTGGTGAGTTTTGTGCTGTCTGAGTCATGTTGCGCTTTTCTAGGCAGTGCTAGCGTGAAATGGAGCATTGTCGACTTGTCATGGGAGGCAGATAAGATGTCAGCCAGTTGTGCTGATAGGCCAAAGTCATGGCTGTGTCTGTCATGTTGGCTTTCTGCTACAAGGCTGGCAAGGCTGCCTTTTCTCCAAGCACCTGCTTCCTTTGAATCAGCTTTGATACGTTACTGTTTGTTTTCTTGGAAACAAGTTCTCTGAGAATTCCTCCTAAGGCCAATTTACAGGTGCTTTTTATGAGGAAAAGATTTTTTTTTTTTTTTTATGACAGTATTTTCCTCTAGTGTAAATCTTTTCCCAGCCCATAAGGTTTGCTTGCATCCCACAGCTCAAAAACCTGTGCACACTTCATTAATCTGCTCTTGTATGGAGGCAGAGGTTCAGCGATAATAGCACCCTAAGTGATGTTAACGCACAGACGGTTTTTAAAGGAAACTTTTGAAATGCAATAAACCACTTTATTTTCTGGTTTGTAGAACTAAGAATAAAACCTCTAGATGGCACCAGAAGAACAAGATAGAAATGAGCAGATCTTAAAAAATTCTGCCAGCTATAGCATATCCATCATTTTGATGCAAACACATCACTTAGGGAATGGGAGATTATTAAAAGCATTATACTTATGCCAGTGACAAGGACAGGTCCAGCAAATGACTGTTTCCCGGAAATAGCAGGTGATTTTGCAAGCAATAATGCTGCCTCTTAATCTTTGCATGACACACATTAAGAGGTTAAGCATGCCTTGTAAAATATTGCAAGACTCATGTTACATCAAGTTTCTCCTTAGGATATGAAAGCCCCAGCCTTTTGACTATATTTACGAAGGGAGATTTGAATTCGAGCTCTAAAGGCAAACCTCTCAGACTTAGCAGCTTCCATAGATTTTCAGAACACTGTTTCTAATACTGCAAGGCCCATGCCCTACAATTTTTCTTCAGTCTTTATAGAGGGATGATTCCATTTGAAATTAACGGGAGGTCTGGGAGCAAAGAGTGCAGGGTCTGCTCTCAGCACTGCCACTGCAAGATTCAGTGATGTCGAGACCTGTAAGAAACTACCAGTAGCCTTCTATATTAATATTTAATTCCTCATTGGAATGTGCAGTAACTCAGTACCAGCTTTGTCCTTGGGTATTAGCTCAAGGTTTATCAGATTGTTATATTTTAAAAATAGCACACTTGACCTCACATCATTTCCTTTATGAACATTTGAACTTTGTGTGGGTGCATTGAAGGACTGTTAACTTGTAATAAACTTGTCTCATTTTTTAAGTTAATGTAGCTTCATTTTCTGTTATTGTTGCTCCTGTGTTACATTAATATTGTACAGCTGAGAGTCTGATAGGAAAAAGAGACCTAGACACCCTACTGCAGTTAGAAGTAATATGGTCAATAGCTGCAGCTAAAACCTTTCCCATGGTATCCTAAACTATCCAGCAGGGTTGTCCCATGCGGATTTCACCTGGCACCAGTGTCCCCCAGGAGGGAATTTGTCCTCCACCCTGTCAAGGGCCTCTGCAGGAAGCCATTATCCATCTGATGACATTGGTGCACACAGCATGTGGAAGAGAGGCAGATGGAAAGAGCCACGACTTCTTTTAAAGCCAGAGCCAGTGTAGCTCTTTACCATTTTAAATCATGGTAAAAATGATGATCAAAATTTTGGTCTGCTAACTTAGTGACCTCCACTGGACCATTTTGAATGAAGTGCACTAAAAGGCAATCCAACAATTGTAAATCAACCCCAAAGCCAGCCCTCCTGATTGCAAGATAGGATGTGAAAAAGAACACCTCATAGTCGTGTGCCACTTTTGCTGTCTGGGAAAAAATGCCTTCCACATATGAAAATGGCAATCAACCTCCTGCATGGTGCTTAATGGGAGGTAAAACACAAGACGACTCCCTGGCTGGGAGTTACGAGGCCACATGCAGATGTCTCCATCTGAGCTAATCACTGAAACTCCCTTCTTAGAAAATGGAGAGAAACAAGTACTAGTAGGGCACAAGTCATGTCATTCTAAAGCAGGTGTCTCAAATCAGTGAGATGAATCATGTCTATTCTTTCCACCAACTGTAAAGGGAGCTTAGTATAGCCAGGTTGGATGGGAGACATCTACGTGGCTGATGTTTAAAGTTATGCGTGACAAATTCTGCACCATGTTTCTCTAATTAGCTCTTTAGTTGAAAAGTCTATTTACAGAGATGCTTCTTAATAGCTGGAATGTTTTTACAGGCTGGCT